AATATAACCATTGCAGTCTACCTCTTTAAAGAAATTCTTGGTAAAAATGTTCCCTTCTTCTATAAAAACAGTAAGGTCTAGAAAATTAATTGCCACTTTACTTTGTACAGAGGTGAGATTAATACCCCAATCATTACAATTTAAAAAACTCAAAAAATTAGTCAATTTAAGATCATCTCCCTTCCAAATAAAAAATATATCATCAATGTATCGGCGATAGGTGACCAAGTCCGCAAAAAATTCACTATGTAAAATAAACATTTCTTCCCAATACGCCATAAAAAGATTCGCGTAACTGGGTGCGAACTTGGTCCCCATCGCCGTTCCATTGATTTGTAGATAAAAACTCTCTTTGAACCAAAAAAAATTATTGGTCAAAATTAAAAATATGCCCTCTTTAATAAAATCTATTTGATCTTGTTTAAAATTCGATTTATCTAAAAAGTGTTGTACTGCCTCTATTCCCTTTGTGTGTGGGATTATGCTGTAGAGTGAGTTTACATCACACGTAACCAATATATAATTCTCTTCCCATTTAATCTCTTCTAAAATTTGTAAGATATGTATTGTGTCTTTAAGGTACGTTGGATTCTTAGTTACTACCGGTTGAAGAAGAACATCTATATACTCTGAAACTCTCGATGAGATACTTTCTACCCCAGAGATTATAGGTCTACCTGGTGGATTAATTAAATTTTTATGCATCTTTGGTAAACAATAGAATACTGGAATCTGAGGATTAGAACATAATTGTCGAGTAAAGCGGTTTAGGTCTATAAAGAATTCAAAAGGTCTAAAGTCTGCAGACGGAGCAAACTTTAGTCCTTTTTGCAATATCTTTAATTCATCTTGACCCAGTTCTTTATCTGAGAGATTAAATATCCCCTTGTTATCTATATCCGTCCTCGTTTCTCTCTGTTGTGGTTTCTTTCATCTTCTACCTCTCCCTCTTCCCACGATCTTCTCCTTTTGCCCGGAGAGTCCCATTCCCGTGATTCCTGAAGTTGTTTGCATCTGGATTTGGTTGGGCTCTTGCGAAAAGGAGAAGATATAGGGGAGGTATTTCTATGTTCCAATATCTGAAAGCGATAAGTGGATATACTATGATCTCTATCTATAGACGGTTTGCGTCTGTCCATACGGAACTCATTTTTATTCTGTGGGAGATTCCTATTCTGCAAATTTCTCACTGGACTTGCAGCTGCTCTACTATAGCTTCTGACATTGTTTTCTTTTCTTTCTTCTTGTCTAATCGGATTAGGCTTAATCAAAGTGGGAATTTGCCACCCTAAAGAAATATGTAAAGGAAAAAATAACACCGAGGGGGTTAAGATTCTCTAAGGACCCCTCCTTTGATCGTGAGGATCAGTTTTTCATGGAGGGATGGAACAAATTATTGGATGGATTCTCATTTAGCCTCATAGGGTACATAGTAGCAAGACGAGAAGAAAATCTCATAAAATTAGATGAGGATATAAAGAAATTCAGAGAAGGTTTAAGTGAAACCACCAGTCCTGAAATATTCAATGAGATAATATTAGATATGAAAAAGAGAATAGATAAAACAGAGAGAGAAGTTATAGAAACGAAGAAACATAAATACTTAAGGGATCTGGAAGATTATAAAACAGGAAATGTAAGAAGTAACAATCGTAAACAGGCCAATTGGAATAAATCCAATCAACGTAATAGAGGGAGGACACCTAGTTATCAGAGAAAACAGACAAGAGCATGTTCTCCAAGTCAATGGGAACATTATCAAACAAAAACATACAGACATAGGAACACAGAAGATAGAGGTTTACAGAGATATCAATGCCAGACAAGCAACAAATCAAAGAACTATCCATATAGGGATATTGGAGGAAGGAAAAATTACTTACATAATCAAAGATCTTATGCAATCAAAGAGGATAAAAAACAAGAAAGTAGAGTTAAAGATTACAATGTTGTAACTACTACACATAAGCCTAATCCGATTAGACAAGAAGAAAGAAAAGAAAACAATGTCAGAAGCTATAGTAGAGCAGCTGCAAGTCCAGTGAGAAATTTGCAGAATAGGAATCTCCCAAAGAATAAAAATGAGTTCCGTATGGACAGACGCAAACCGTCTATAGATAGAGATCATAGTATATCCACTTATAATCGCTTTCAGATATTGGAACATAGAAATACCTCCCCTATATCTTCTCCTTTTCGCAAGAGCCCAACCAAATCCAGATGCAAACAACTTCAGGAATCACGGGAATGGGACTCTCCGGGCAAAAGGAGAAGATCGTGGGAAGAGGGAGAGGTAGAAGACGAAAGAAACCACAACAGAGAGAAACGAGGACGGATATAGATAACAAGGGGATATTTAATCTCTCAGATAAAGAACTGGGTCAAGATGAATTAAAGATATTGCAAAAAGGACTAAAGTTTGCTCCGTCTGCAGACTTTAGACCTTTTGAATTCTTTATAGACCTAAACCGCTTTACTCGACAATTATGTTTAAAGAAATTCTTTCACAATAGAGACACAGTAGAAATTAACACCACCTCCCCATATATTCATAGCAATTTGAAGGAAAAATCAAAATTTTTCCCAAGAAACATGATTTCAAGTGAAATTAAAACCTTTGAAACCATGATTATGAAAGAGGTTAAGAAAATCAGACATACGAATAAGTATCAAAAAAATCTTACACTAGCAGAGACCAAAACATTAAAGAAGTTACAAAAAGATGATAATTTAATTATAAAACCTGCAGATAAGGGGGGGGGAGTAGTTATTCTGTCTAAAGAAAAATATGTAGGGGAAGCAGAGAGGTTACTGTCAGATGTCAAAACATATAAGAAATTAACATGTAATCCGAGTCAGGAGATTATAACGAAGTTTAAAGAATATATCAATAAAGGATTAGAAAACGACATTTTAACAGAAGCAGAAGCCAAATACCTGACTATTTCTAATCCTCAGATTCCAGTATTCTATTGTTTACCAAAGATGCATAAAAATTTAATTAATCCACCAGGTAGACCTATAATCTCTGGGGTAGAAAGTATCTCATCGAGAGTTTCAGAGTATATAGATGTTCTTCTTCAACCGGTAGTAACTAAGAATCCAACGTACCTTAAAGACACAATATATATCTTACAAATTTTAGAAGAGATTAAATGGGAAGAGAATTATATATTGGTTACGTGTGATGTAAGCTTACTCTACAGCATAATCCCACACACAAAGGGAATAGAGGCAGTACAACACTTTTTAGATAAATCGAATTTTAAACAAGATCAAATAGATTTTATTAAAGAGGGCATATTTTTAATTTTGACCAATACTTTTTTTTGGTTCAAAGAGAGTTTTTATCTACAAATCAATGGAACGGCGATGGGGACCAAGTTCGCACCCAGTTACGCGAATCTTTTTATGGCGTATTGGGAAGAAATGTTTATTTTACATAGTGAATTTTTTGCGGACTTGGTCACCTAATGCCGATACATTGATGATATATTTTTTTATTTGGAAGGGAGATGATCTTAAATTGACTAATTTTTTGAGTTTTTTAAATTGTAATGATTGGGGTATTAATCTCACCTCTGTACAAAGTAAAGTGGCAATTAATTTTCTAGACCTTACTGTTTTTATAGAAGAAGGGAACATTTTTACCAAGAATTTCTTTAAAGAGGTAGACTGCAATGGTTATATTGATCTCACTAGTTGCCATCATACTCCGTGGCTCACGAATGCACCCAAGAGCCAGTTCATGAGACTAAAAAGAAATTGCACAAAAGATGATGATTTTTTACAACAAACACAAATTATTAAAAATCAATTCTTAGAAAAGGGATATGAAGAAGAGGACCTTCAAAAGGGTATAGAAGAAATAAAAAGATTAGAACGAAAGGAATTGCTAATATATAAAAAGAAAAAAGCGAAAATAGAGAATAACAAATGTAATATCCCCTTTATTTGTAATTTCTCGGCCAATAATAAGAAGGTGCGATATGCCATTAACAAATATTGGCACTTATTACAAGACGATCCGATTCTAAAAGAAATATTACCGGAGAGACCTAAAATTGTCCATAGGGGATGCAGAAATATAAAAAATTTTTTAGTAAATAGCAATCTAAAAAATCATCAAGTTGAAAATGAAAATTTCTTAACAAAGAATAAAGGATTTTATGGGTGTGGAACATGCTTGGCATGTAGGGAGACAAAAAGTACAAAAAGACATATAAAAAATACAAATGAAATTACCAATAAAGAGTTTATAATAAAAGACCAGCTGACATGTTTCTCTAAAAATATTATTTATTTATTAATTTGTCCATGCAATAAAATGTATATAGGGAGAACTATCAGATGTCTCCATATCAGAATTTCAGAACATGTGAGGAACATTAAAAAAGGAGTAGATACACATAGTGTTTCCCAACATTTTAAACAGTACCATCACCATAATCCACAAGGTCTTGCCTTTTGTGCACTCAAATTGGTCAAAAAAAATTGGAGGGGTGGAGATTTTATAAAGAAAATTGGGATGGAAGAAATGTCTTTTATTTTCAATTTTAATACCATGGCCCCTTATGGATTAAACTTAGACTTTGAATTATGCCATTTTTTATAATAGTAAGAGTTAAGTATCATAGTTGTTAGTTCAACGATAATTTATACTGTTTCCTCTCACCCTTCCAGTTTTTTATACAAGTATTTTAGGAACACACCATCATCACTATGCACATATAGAAGTAATGGTGTTCATTTATATTCACACCAACTGGAATGTTTTTTTATGTTATAATATATAGTTATGTTATAATATTTAGTTTATCTCTTTTTTCTGTTTCTTTATCATTATTGATTTTTCTTGGGATTGTATGGACTGGAATATTGAGGACTTTTGTTATAATAGAAAAGATTATGGAACGCAGATGGTGCGTTCCACGAAAAAAGCGCAGAAGTAAAACGGCAAGTTTGTATTATTTGAGACTGTGGAACGCATGTGCGTTCCAATGAGGAAGAAGGAAGTGGAACGGCCTAATCATGTGATCGACGCACGCACGCACGTACGCGTGTACGTGCGTTCCAACCAGTACGGCGTGCGTTCCACGAAGTCAACTTCCGGTCCGGCGGATGCCGGTAATTTCATCATGTAAGAATCATATAAAAGTACAAGAGGACACAGAAGGAATATACCAACTGAGGAAGCCAGTTTAACTGGCGAAACGCGTTTTGGGGACATTTTGGACTCATTGCAAGTACTTTGATCCATTTTCGTTTTTAGATGTTTTAAATTTACGGTTTTATCAATAAATTTTTCTTTATACCGTCCTGTGGAGTCTGCATTTCCATTCCTACCAAAATTGAAGGAGGAGGACATCAGGAGGAAGAGAAAAAGGGCAGTGGATCTCCCTTAGAAGATCCATAGGCGCTTACCACTAGAGCCAGGTGCATTATTGGCTCCACCTTTGTGAGTTACCCATCTGAAAGTCTTTATTTTTTATGTCAATTATTATGTGACTATTTTCTGCACTTAGATCTGTGACCATTTATTTACAGATTCCCATTTTGAATATATTTATATTCATCTTCTATATATTATTGTTTATACAGGTAATACAGAGCTCCGCTTATATTTTGTTTGTTTTGCATGTCTCAAGAAGGCCCAGCCGAGGTGGTCAAACACCTTCTCAGCATCTAACACCAACAGCAGACCACCTCGACCGGGCCTCCGGAGCTGTTCAAAAATGTCCATAAGTTTGTAGGTGTTGTTCAAGCCCTGTCTCCATTTGACGAACCCGTTTTGGTCATCCAATATTAGTTGCGGTAGCAGTCGGCTGGGATTTTCGCATACAATTTAGCATTTGTGTTAAGGAGGGAGATCGGACGGTAGTTCTTACAGTCGTCCGCGGGTTTACCCGGTTTTGGAATGGTGACAGTGGTAGCTAAAAGCATCTCAGGTGGGAGGGAACCCGAGGTGGTGTAACGGAACGCTTGGCACCCCGATTTGGTACCTTCCATTGACGGATGGTCCTAGTGCTTCCCGAGGGCTCCAAGCACTACACTACCCACTCTAACCACCGCAGATCCCAAAAACTGCCGCAGCTTGGTTGGGGTCTCGCCGTCTTCCACCCACTCTGGACCCAAGATCAGGATCCAGCTTCCAGTAGGTAGACCTCTCTTAGAATCCAGAGAGCAGGAACAGGAACAGGAACAAGAACAAGCTCTTAGAAGAGGGATCTAAAAAGAGGGATCTAACGGAGCTTACTAGCAACGATCCAAATACTCACTGTTTAGAGGATACAATATAAATATGAACCGCTATGCACCTACAGAAAAGGTAGTTTGACATATAAATACATGTCTAGTTGAAACGGATAATGCATCAAAAGCAGTATATAATATAAAGGCAGTCCAGTGGATCTAAAGGGTCCCTGCTCCAAAAAATATAGTAGTAAAGCACTGTCCAGTGTCTATAAACCCTGAAAACTAGTGCAGAGCGGGTAAGAAATGGGCCAAAGTAGGGTTCCCATATAGCACAGTGAGATTATGCTTATGTACAACTGCACAGTTAAATGACAAAAAGTCCTGGGGGCAAAACGTCAATACAGTTCCCCAAGACACTTGTTATTGCGCTGTAAACTAGAGCTGTCAGCTGACAAAGATGTTATGTCAGATGTAACATGAAACCCCAGCATAAAGTAACAGTGTTACTGACAGAATCAAAATAAAGAGATAGCACAATAATGTAACTAAGTGTCTGGGAAAGGAAACAGTTTGAACTGTGCTGTAAAGTAGAATCCTATCAGTAATAGCACTACTAGTCGGCCAGTTAGAGATATTGACACTGCTGTATAAGGTGAAAAAGAGACAGAACAGGTTTATCTACCAAAATCAAAAGGTCATATATACTAGGCTAGTGAATCAAAAAAAGTCAATATAGTTTCCCAATTAGATACTTAGTACTGTGCCCCAAGTTAAACAGATCCCATCAGGTACAACAGTGCAGTTTGTTATTAAATTTGGCTGTCTAATCAGCTGTTTAGTGCAGGCAACAAATATTACCCACTGTGCTAAATAACCCAGTGATCCCTTATGGAGAGTCAATCCCCAGGGGTACAATAGGGATTATAGGGAAGCTACAATATAAGGCTCATCTAAGCTAAGTAAGACTCCTTTTAGAATCCCTGTTAAAATAAAATGCAGCTAGAGAGCGGCATGACACAGCTCAACGCGTTTTGGCGCTTTGTTGTGCCTTTTTCAAGAGCAGAACAGAGTCAGAGTCAGCATGTGTTTAAATAGCGAGCGGCCCCGCCCTTCAGGACATCCTGCGGCCAATCGCCTCACGGCACGTCAGTCGTTGGTGTGTACGATTTGCTTGCGGCTAGGAGATAGGTAAAAGCCATGCCGGTGGGTGGCGGTCAGAGAGCCCGCCCCACCCTGCCATCAAGTGGCCAATACCTAAGTGCCACGTCATAATGGGTGCGGTTACGTGACTGACATTCGCGTAAATTAATCGTGTCCTCAAAGAGGCGGGGACTAGGATGTTAGCCCAACCCCTAATGTGCCAATTTCGTTGTTAGAGTAAGAAGGGGATCCTGAGAATCCCCATTAGAGGCACACAGAATAGAATGTTTGCGTGCACTAAATATCTATGGTGATACTAAAAAAATAAACACTAGGCTTATTAAAAATACAAATTCCCATTCACAACTATGACTTTAGAGAGTCATGGAAAATACTAAAGGGATGTCTGACTCAGACAGGATATTTTAAAGGTATAAATCCTCTTTGAGGACGCGATTCTTTTTCGTGACACTATTTTCGTGTACCAGATATACCGGAGGAGATGCTACTTCTGGACCGGGTACACAGAATCCCAAAACCACGGCATCTATCAGACGCCACCCCGAGGGATGTGCTCACAAAAGTATATTACTTTCATATTAAAGAAATAATTCTAATCACCAGCAGAAACAAAAGTACCCCGCATCAGGACTATCCTACAGTGAAACTGTTTGCCGACCTATCCGCTACCACCCTAAAGCAAAGGAAAGATTTTTCACCTATCGCTGACAGACTGCGGGCAAATGGAATGAGATTCAGGTGGGGATACCCCACTAAAATGATCATTTTGCAGGTAGGCAAACTATACATGATCTCCACCCCAGAAGAAGGAACAAAAAGGCTACAAACCTGGGGAATAGCAGAAAACATGTCAGAGAAAACGACACCACCTTCCCGCAATTTGCAGGTAGGATGGAGTAAGGTGCCTGCACTGCGGGAGGCTCATTAGATTACAATGGATTACAACGGAGACGACCCGACGGACGTACAACGGTATTCTACACAGGCATATAAAATGCCTCATACCTCGGGAGACACCCTCCGCACTGTTTACCCACCACCACAACCAGGACAGTGCTGAAACGAAAATACAAGACGCCAACATTCGAGACACAAGGGACATCAGTACTACAGACACCTCAAGCTACACTGCACTAGTGATGTGGCGAACCCAAAATTTTCGGTTCGCGAACGACGAACGCGAACTTCCGCAAATGTTCGCGAACCGACGAACCGCCATAGACTTCAATGGGCAGGCGAATTTTAAAACACACAGGGACTCTTTCTGGCCACAATAGTGATGGAAAAGTTGTTTCAAAGGGACTAACACCTGAACTGTGGCATGCCGGAGGGGGATTATTACACAGTTGATGCAGAGTCTGGTCTTAATCCATAAAGGGCAGAAATCACCTAACATTCCTAAATCACAATGGATATGGATTGATACCTGACATATGACATATTGACACAGAGCAGAATAGGGACTGTTTCCCCTACATAGGGTCACTTGGCAGATATGGATTGACACCTGTCCTCAGAGACCATGATACACACTGACTCAAAGCAGAATACAGACTGTTCCCCCTACATAGGATCACTTGGCAGATATGGATTGACACCTGTCCTCAGAGACCATGATACACACTGACACAGAGCAGAATAGAGACTGTTCCCCCTACATAGGGTCACTTGGCAGATATGGATTGACACCTGTCCTCAGAGACCATGATACACACTGACACAGAGCAGAATAGAAACTGTTCCCCCTACATAGGGTCACTTGGCAGATATGGATTGACACCTGTCCTCAGAGCCCCTGATACACACTGACACAGAGCAGAATAGAGACTGTTCCCCCTACATAGGGTCACTTGGCAGATATGGATTGACACCTGTCCTCAGAGACCATGATACACACTGACACAGAGCAGAATAGAGACTGTTCCCCCTACATAGGGTCACTTGGCAGATATGGATTGACACCTGTCCTCAGAGCCCCTGATACACACTGACACAGAGCAGAATAGAGACTGTTCCTCCTACATAGGGTCACTTGGCAGATATGGATTGACACCTGTCCTCAGAGACCATGATACACACTGACACAGAGCAGAATAGAGACTGTTCCCCTACATAGGGTCACTTGGCAGATATGGATTGACACCTGTCCTCAGAGACCATGATACACACTGACACAGAGCAGAATAGAGACTGTTCCCCTACATAGGGTCACTTGGCAGATATGGATTGACACCTGTCCTCAGAGCCCCTGATACACACTGACACAGAGCAGAATAGAGACTGTTCCTCCCTACATAGGGTCACTTGGCAGATATGGATTGACACCTGTCCTCAGAGACCATGATACACACTGACACAGAGCAGAATAGAGACTGTTCCCCCTACATAAGGTCACTTGGCAGATATGGATTGACACTGTCCACAAGGACAAGCTGCAGGCTTCCTGGCAGGGCCCATACAAGGTGGTAGAGCAGGTTTGTGATACCACCTTTGTGATCGGTGCGGTCACAGGAGGCAAGCGCATGCTCCATGTGAACATGCTCAAGCCATACCACGAGCGCACGGAAGAGGTAACCGCGATCTGTGCACCTGCCACTGAAGAAATTGATAATTTGCCACTCCCAGATCTCCTAGACCTAGAGGGCCAGAGCGGAGACCTGGGAGAAGTACAGTTAGGAGAACGGTTAGACCCCCAGGAGCGAACCCAGGTCCAAAGACTAATCCTGGACAAGGGGGCCACGTTTTCCAACCTACCTGGGTACAGTCCGTTAACAACTCACAAAGTTGAAACCCTAGACCAGACCACCCTTCAACAAACCGCCTATCGCATACCCGAAGCAGTTAAAGAAAATATTCAGAAAGAAATTGAGGAATTGATGCAGTTAGGGGTGATAGAACACTCTGACAGCCCCTGGGCCTCCCTGGTAGTACTAGTACCGAAACGGGACGGCACGACCCGTTTCTGTATAGACTACCGGAGGCTAAACGATAAAACAACCTCAGACGCCTACCCTATGCCCCGGATAGACGAGCTCCTAGACAAAATGGCCAGAGGCCAGTACCTCACCACAATAGATCTGTGCAAGGGGTACTGGCAAATTCCATTAGCCGAGGACGCCATCCACAAGTTGGCATTTGTCACCTCGTTTGGCCTGTATCAGTTTAAGGTCATGCCATTCGGGATGAAGAATGACCCGGCTAACTTTCAGAGAATGGTAGATCAGCTACTGGATGGGTTTCAGGAGTATGCCTGCGCCTACTTGGATGATATAGCCATTTTTAGCTGCTCCTGGCCCGAACACCTGACCCACATAGGAGCCGTACTAGACCGGATTAGGGAGTCCGGACTGACCCTAAAGCCCAGTAAGTGCCATATAGGAACGCGTAAAAACCTCCCCAAGATAGTAGTATGGGCCCCAGAGTGTGAACAGGCCTTCCAACAGCTCAAGACGGCGCTCATTAAATCACCTGTACTTTCTGCTCCTGATCCAACTAAACGCTTTCTCGTCCATACAGACGTTTCTATGTTTGGATTGGGAGCAGTACTGAGCCAAGTCGGAGCAGATGGCGGCGAGCAACCCGGGGCTTATCTAAGCCGGAAACTTTTGCCCAGGGAAGTAGATACACTGCCATTGAAAAGGAGTGCCTGGCGGTGGTGTGGGCCCTCAAAAAGCTGCAACCTTACTTGTATGGACAACCGTTTACCTTACTCACAGATCACAACAAATTTGGGGCACTGCGCGTGCAATCTAATGTGCCACCAGATAGGAGTGGTGTGTTAAGTAGTACTATTCTTATCAGTTTAATCCCTGTTACGTCCCCTATCCGGGGACGTGTATATGGCATCGATTTTAGGAACCGGGAGATGGAAAAAGATGCTTGGTCGGTCCTCCTTCTTCAAATTTGGGGCACTGCGCGTGCAATCTAATGTGCCACCAGATAGGAGTGGTGTGTTAAGTAGTACTATTCTTATCAGTTTAATCCCTGTTACGTCCCCTATCCGCTGATGTGGAGCAAGACGCAGCAGCAGAAGAGGACTCAGCCGAGGAGGTTATGGAAGAGGATGGAGTAGGAGGAGTAGAGGAGGTGGCAGCAGGCCTGCCTGCAAGTCGTGGCGGTGTCACCAACTCCTCTGCAGAGCCACGCATTCCATGCTTGGCAGCCGTCAGCAGGTTTACCCAATGCGCAGTGTAGGTGATATACCTGCCCTGACCATGCTTTGCAGACCAGGTATCAGTGGTCAGATGGACCCTTGCCCCAACACTGTGTGCCAGACATGCCATTATTTCCTTTTGCACAATAGAGTACAGGTTGGGGATTGCCTTTTGTGAAGAGAAATTTCGTCCGGGTACCAGTGAGTGAGTGGTGGCACTGGGCACAGTATCCACTGTGAGCCTGACACACCCGCTGGCAGACAACTAACTGCTATTCAATCTATAACAGTGAAAAAAGTTTTTTGTTTTTAAATGCAAGCTATTATGACACCAGATATGAGTGGCACTGTGAACTGGCAGAGTACACGCTGTAGGGCTGACACACCCGCTTTGAGACAACTGCTATTCAATCTATAACAGAGAAAAAAGTTTTTTGTTTTTAAATGCAAGCTATTGTGACACCAGATATGAGTGGCACTGTGAACTGGCAGAGTACACTTTGTAGGCCTGACACACCCGCTTGAAGACAACTAACTGCTATTCAATCTATAACAGTGAAAAAAGTTTTGAGGTTTTTAAATGCACGCTATTGTGACACCAGTGAGTGAGTGGTGGCACTGGGCAAGTGGGCACAGTATACGCTACGAGCCTGACACACAGACGCTTGGAGACAACTAACTGCTATTCAATCTATAACAGTGAAAAAAGTTTTTTGGTTTTAAATGCAAGCTATTGTGAAACCAGTGAGTGAGTGGTGGCACTGGGCACAGTATCCACTGTGAGCCTGACACAGAAGCTGGCAGACAACTAACTGCTATTCAATCTATTATAGTGAAAAAAAACTTATTTATTTTTTAAATGCAAGCTATTGTGACACCAGTGAGTGAGTGGTGGCACTGGGCACAGTATCCACTGTGAGCCTGACACAGAAGCTTCATTACAAAGAAAAAAAAAAAAAAGACTGATGTTCTAGCCCTAAAAAAGGCTTTTTGGGGTGCTGTCCTTACAGCAGAGATCAGATGAGTCCTTCAGGACTGTAGTGGACACTGTATACCCTAACCTAGCTATGCATTTCCCTATCTAATCAACAGCAGCTACACTTTCCCTCCTCTCACTAAGCATGCAGCTTGAGAATGAATGTAAAATGGATGCCTTCCAGTAGGTGGAAGGGTCTGCTAGGGAGGGTGTGCTGCTAATTGGCTGGAATGTGTCTGCTGACTGTGAGGTACAGGGTCAAAGTTTACTCAATGATGACGAATAGGGGGCGGATCGAACCGCACATGAGTTCGCCCGCCGTGGCGAACGCGAACCTGCTATGTTCGCCAGGAACTATTTGCCAGCGAACCGTACGGTGCATCACACTGCACTAATCGACACAGAGACTACAACAGCATAATAAGCATTGTATGCCACAGAAGTAAGCATTAAAAATCGCACACAGGAATACCTGGGAACCATGGATGCTTGATAGTTGAAAACTCAGGTATCATGCTCACACACACTTAATCATACATTTCTCACATCTCAAGTAAAACATACACTAGCTACATGGCATTCACTTTTCAAACTAAACACTACAAGGGAAATGGAGACCCCGCAAGGAACACGGGAAGATGATACATATGACCCACGATAAAAATATACAAAGAAGGGAGGCCACCAATGGCATACTCACTGTAAGCGGCTATTGGGGGTATTGAAACTTAAAACACCTAAAATATAATAGTGGGTACATTAACTACGACACAAGGTTACAGGGGCTATTGGACACGAAAAAAAGCGCCATAAGCAGATAAGCGGCACAAGCCAACAGACCCCCGACCATCATTTATTATGTATTACTTATTAAACACTATTAGGGGAATCTACAAACAAGGGTCATTGGATATTTTGGACATAGACATCAAGGCGTACACATAAGTGGTTCTATGAGAGGTTTATATATATATATATATATATATTAAAAAAAAAAAAGTTATCTGATTATATTTATGTGGGAGCCAGGGGCCTAATACAGATCTATGTATAGCTGTTGGACTCTTGGTTTTCTGACATAAACTACCTAGACAAGAGGAATACACATGTTGTTAGAATGTCAAATCTTTTGATTGTACTATTATAATGACATCACTTACTGGAAACACTGTAAATGGCTGTCCCAAGATGCAATATGTTTGTTGGATTTCTGCGGGGTGGTTGTCTCTCGGGGACCAAATTATAGCAGACACGAGTCGTTATACAGAACACTAATGTTGCATACAGGTCCTAACGTACCTATAAATATATATTTACCATAAAGGCCGTTAGCCATCAACACAGATATCTCGATATCTACCCCCCATGGCCCCATCACTTGGCGTCATATCCCCAAGAGGGGCAAGTTGTAAATATCCAAGTTCTACCCTTCCCTGTTATCTACCCTCCCCTATTACCCTTCAATCTCCCGATAAACCTGCAGATTCCAACTTTGGAACACTATATAACAACAACAACAACAACATGAAAATCCTGCCTCAGATAACCCCCTGGGTTAAACAGCTAGAGAAGATGACAAGTCACAGAACTACAGAAAATGCGAGTAGTCAAACCAAAATTATCATACGCACTAACTTAAAACCAACCACATAGCATTAAAATATAATCTCATAACGTGCGAGGACTGTAATGACATTAAGGGGTGCTGCCCTGGAACAGCACTGTCACTTTAAATGTGGGAACCAATACAGCAAATACATAAATTCCAAGACACAAATGAATAGGATAAATCAAGAGATAGATATATATATATATTTACAGAGAACCAAATGATAAAACAAAACAATATTTATACACACAATGCCACAAAATATATACAATAAATCAGAATAAGCATGAATCGTGCAGGCAACATATACTAATACAGTCCTTTGGTATAAGGGCAGGATTGTGCAGTTACCACGAGTTACAACCTGACTTGGTTTCAGGCTTGTAAGATCCTCGGAATAAAGACTGCAATGCAACTTCTGTAGAAAGGAGAACAGTCTCTGAGTTATCTTGGGTAGGTACCACTGGTATCAATCAAGGAGAATCCCCTAGATTATCAAGTACAGGATCAGGAGCACTTTGCGAACCCTCTTCCTCAGACCGCAGAAATGCATCAAGGGACGGCTCCCCCAATATCTCGGAGCATGAGGCCAGCCGAAGCAGGGACAACTCTCTCTCAAACTGATATAATTCTGCAACAGATACCTGGTCACTTAGATCATTCTCTTTGTTAATGTGCTCAGCTTGAGGTAGTTCATGAAGTGGCATAGAAAAACACTGAACTGAAGACACCACTTCCTTTAATACTTGTTGAAGGTTAGGTGGTTCTTCAAATGCGGAACCTTCATTACCAACCAACCTTTGCATTTCTTTAATGGACGAAGTAACAGGGTTAGTCTTGCCTATAACTGTAGATTCTTCTTCAGACTGTGGGTTCTGAGCAAGCCCTGTCACATTCAGATCCTTTTTTTGGGCTCGATCCATTTTGTGTTTGTCACGTTGCACCAAGTTTGACTCTGAATTCCACTTGAGGATGACAGTCTTCTTTACTTGGTGTCAACTCATCTTTTACAGTTGCGGTTGTGGTGACATTCTGTCATAAAACTAATATGGTGACTAGGGGTCATGTGAACAAAGTTCATGTATGACTTTCTTACAGGGGGTTAAGCTTTACCCTTTAATATGGTAATTGGGTAATTCAATACCTTTACAAGTCAGGAAAGAGATAACCATTTCCCCCTATCTCCATTCCTCTCTATTCCTTCTTGGCTGTGCTGCAGAGCAGATGTGCAGACACCATGTGCTAGCATGGTGAACCATGTTACACTCTATTGCTTCCTTTTCTTCCTTGGTGGATGTAATGTTGAACTTGCAGCAGTGAGCCATTACTAGATGTGAAGGCCTAACCGTGAGTGAGATCAAATGTGTGGGGAAGGGGATTATTTATCACATTTGGCAACCATGAATTTTAGACTTCTACAAAGGTTATTTATGAGGTAATAACACATTAATAGATAGTCAGATGTATTTTTTGGGGAGGGAGAAAAAAAAAAGTACTTTGTTTAATTATCCTCTGCATGGGAAATCAAGGTCTGATTGTGTTTGGAGTCTAGTTCAGGCCTCCATTTTAATATACCAGCTTAGGAATTAAGCCTCGATTTTGAATATATTATTAGTTTTTTTTGTGTGTTTCAAATATCTGAGTTTGTTGTGTTTTGACTACCATAGTTCAGGCCTAGTAGTTTTTCAGGCCACAATTTTTTTTTTTATAAATTCTTTATTTTGAAAGATTTTTGTTTTATGGGGTGGAAATACAGAAGAAAAACCGGGGAGTTCGAATTTTGTGGTACAAGGTTCATGTAACAGATTTTACAGTAGTCAAACAGTTCAAGCGTATGTACCAATTATCTGTTGGAATTTTCAACCTGGATTAATTGCAACTAGACCATTTCTACATTCTCGTCGGAATCTGTTGTTCTTTAGGTTTGGGTTTGGGGAGGGGAACAATGATGAGAGGGGTGGGGGTGGGGTACAGTTTCCTTTGCATTGTGTAGAAAACGAATTGGCATACATGCAAATTGGGGGGCAGAATAGAGAGGAGAAAGGCGGGGGTTACACTTTAATCAGAGTACAGTTTCAATTGGTTTTGAAAGTAACATATGTATTCCTTGGGTTTGCATCTGTTCGCGTAGTTCTGGATAAGGCGAGTTTCGGGGTGTGCCTTTCTCGTTGGCTTGGGAGTTTGGGTACCAAGCGATTCGTTGGGTGTGGTAAGAGATGGTGCATCCATTATGTTACTCTTAGCTTCTTGAGGACCATGGTACAGCTGAGTCAGGGAGATGGGAGAGTTTGTGTGGGTGGAGGGAGAGGTTATGCGTCTTCTAGTATCTTGTTGTGCGTGTCTCGGCTTATTCTCGTGCTAGAGAATTTGTGTTGTGGGGGGTTGGGGGGTTTTGGATATAGGAACATGGGGGTGTGGTGTTGTGTTCTAAGGTTAATGGGTGTTAGAGGTTTGCGGCTTGTCCGCGTGATGTTGAGCCTTTATCTGCGTGTTGTGTTGGGTTAGTGTGCTGTGGGTGTGGTGTTCTGGTTTGCGGGTTTTAGGTCTTTGTCTAGGCGCATGCCGTTTTTGTCGGTATGGTGGGGGTGTGGGTATTAACTATTTCCGATGTGGTCGTTTTGCTGGGTCGGGGTTAATGTGTCGCGCGTGGGTTGAGTGACTGTGACATGTGTGAGGAGATGGGTTGGTAGTGTGTTTGGGTTGGATTATTATCGAGTTGGTTTTGTTTTGGGAGAGTAGAAAATTGAGTATTAGGTGATGGGGTATGAAAGAGTGGTAGGTGTGAGATGTTAGTGGGAATCTGTTGTATCTGGTGAGAGGGGTGTGGGGGGTGGCTGTGGGTCTGGGTTGGGTGAGGGTTTCTTTCGGTGGAATGTGTGGATGTGGGTGGGCTTGTTTGTTTCTGTTGGGGTATAGTCGAGGTGGTTCCTGGGGGGGTTGGGGTGGTGGTGGACGTTGTTGTTTCAAGGGTTGGACGTGGATTGTGAGAACTCGTAGAGCCACGGATCCCAGATTTTGTTGAAGGCGTTTGTAGAGTCATGTACTATTGCGGACAGTTTGTCCATTTTCCTGGTTTCTTCTATTTTGCGTTTCACTGTTTGTAGTGATGGCACTTCTGGTTTGCTCCAGGCCTCTGCTATAGCCCTCCTAGTTGCTAGGGCGATTTTAGCTATCAGCTTGTTTTGGCACCTGGGGGTGTTTCCTAGGGGTTTTGAGAGGAACCATGTCCATGGATCTAGTGGGACGTTTGTGTGTAGTACTTTGGATGTCAGTTGTGTGATTTGGAGCCATAGTGAGGCTATTTGGGGGACATTCCCACCAGGTGTGAATGTATGTGCCTTTTCCTCCGCATCGTTTCCAGCGCAAATCGGTGTTGGCGATGCCCATCTGTTTGAGCCGAAGAGGGGTAAGGTACCAGCGCATCAGTGTTTTGTACGCTTGTTCCTTGTGGTTTACACATATGGAGACCGATGCTGTGGCCTCCCATATGTCTCCCCAGTCTGAAGGGTGTTTCGGAGGCCCAAGATCCCTCTCCCTACACGTATGTGAGTGAGCCGTCAGTGGAGGTAGTGATAAATCTGGCTTTTTTGGATCCACGTTATGGAGACTATGTTTGTGGTTTTGATGTATTCTGTGAGGGATGGGGAAGTGAGGAACATGTCTATTCTGGAGTGGGAGTGGTGAGGATGTGAATAAAAAGTATAGTCTTTCGTTGTAGGATGTTGGATTCTCCAGATGTCTAGTAAGTTGGAGTCATTTGCAAAAGCGAGTAGTAGTTTATCTGCTTTGGCTGTCGGTGGTTGGTTGCGTGTGGGTGGTCCGGTGCAGTGTCTATCTTGGATTGGTTGCATTGTGGCATTGAGGTCGCCACCTATAATTAGGTGGTGTGAGGGGAAACGTTTGAGGTGGGCCTGCATGGCATGCCAAAATGATTTGTTCAGGCGATTAGCTGCATATATAGATGTGAGCGCGTATCTTTGAGGGCTCGCATCCTGCGATTGTCAGATATCTTCCCTGCGGGTCCATGTGTGTTTGTGTGACAGTTAGGGGGCATGATTTTTGAAGCATAATCGCCACTCCGTTTTGTTTGCCTGTTGGGGAGTTCGCTGTGTAGTACGTGTTATAGTGTCGGCTCAGGAGGGGGAGTGGTTTCTTATGGGCGAAGTGGGTTTCTTGGAGGAGTTGTATATTGTGATCTGTTGGCCCAGCGTAGAAATTGGTGTCGTTTAGAAGGGTTGTTCAGGCCTTTGCAATTGATCAATATGCATGTTAGGGTACTGGATTTGGTGGGTGTGTTGGATTGTGGATATCGGGGTCTCGTATTGGGTGTCGGAGTGTTTGTCTGGGCCATTGTGAGGTGTGGTGCTTGGGGGTAGGAGGATGAGGGGGTGGTCTATTGGGATGTGGGGCAGAAGGTAGGGTTTTGGCCTATGTAGGAGGGGGAAATAGCTTGGATGGGGGGCAGGGTTGAAGACGCAGAGGGAGGGGGGAGAGAAGAAAAGTAAGGGGGATCGGGGGTATGCGGGTTATAGGAGTGTCCCTGGTCTTACCTAGAATGTGCCAGGTGTTGTATGGGCGGAGTGTGCCTGGGTTTAGGCATGGGGGGAGAGATGTGGTGTGTGTGGTGGTGCCCGGAGGCTGCTGGTTATTGTTGTGACTGGCGAGGAATGTGTGGTGGTCTTGTTCAGTTGGTGGGGGAAGTGGACCAGAGGGTGTCAAGCCCACTCCCCTGGGGGTGTTGTGCGGTCGTCGCTTGATGTAGCTTCTGTTGTAATTATAACATGTCCAGAGGGGCCTGGGGGGGTTGAGTTGTGGTTGAGCAAGGTATTTTTGATTGCGTGGGTTTCGTGTGCTCGGACGTGTCTCCTGGTCCTGTAGTGTGCGAGTGTGCCTGGTGAACGGTCTGGTTGTGTAGTTGCTACTTCGTGGGGTGTGTGGGTGAGTGTCTCAGTGGTTGTCTCACCGTTGTGTGTTGTTGCGGTTGTAATCGGCGGGGGTGGGGGTGGTGAGCCGGGGCGGCGGGGCTGTTGGAGTCTCTGGTGTGTCCTGGATCTTTGGCCCCTTAGAGCTCCTGGTGCTGTGATGATTGAGGGTGTGTCTGGTGTAAGGAGATATTGCTGAGCATGGTGGCATGTGGGGTTTTGCAGGGACTGGGAGGGTTGTTTTGTTTTACCTTAGTGTAGCATGAAGAGGCGTATGGTGGCCTGAGGTGTGTAGTCTGGGTGCGGGTGTTGCTATTTCGAGAGCCTGGTTTGTAGGCCAGGGCATATGTTGACCTGGTCATAAGAGGTTGTTTCCTCCTATCTCCCTGAGACGATCTACTGCGAGGAACCAGAATATCAACAGAGATAACAGTTACATAACAGATTTAACATTAATACATATGGTTAGCAGGCTTGTTGAGGTGTGGTGGAGCCCATGTCTTCCCCTCCTTCCCCCCCCAACCCCTGGCAACCTCTGTCGGGGCTTTTGTTGAGTGGGGTTTGGTCCCTGCGTTGAAGTAGTCGGGGGGAGGGGGGTGCCGGGGGGTGCCGGGGGGTGTGTGTTGGAGGAGTTCTAAAGGTCGTGGCTCCCCTGTGCACCTATAAGCTTTGTTGTACGGTTTGTCTACTCTAGAGGTCCTAGGTGGGTCTATGTGTGGGAGGGTCTGGTCGTATGTCTCCGTTATGTTTCCGTATGGAGGTAGGGGCCGCTGTTGCAGTATGTGGGGGTTGGCACATGCAGGTTGTGTTTCTTATCGTCCGGTTGTCGTGGACTCCAGTTAGTGTGCGCTTCTGTAATGACCTAGAGTCGTGGGGAGTCTGGTAGTCATCAATGGTCTTTGGTCCATTTGTGGCTTGGCTGGCTAGGGCTGAGTGGGGGCTGGTCTGATGTGACGAGAGTGTCGGGGCAGGTTCCGTGATTCGACGCTGGGCGTCAGGGATGGGTGGGTCTGTAGTCCATCTGAGTCCCGTCTCCTCCTCCACAGTCCTTGCCTTTTCCCTTTCTCCTCCCTTTCACCTCCCTTTCCCCCCACTCTTGGGTTTCCCGCGTCCCCCTGCATGCCTCTAGTTATGTTGGGGAGTCGGGCTTGAAAAGTACGTTCAACATAAAACACAACTTTTTTTCAACCATTAAAATCTTAGAACATTCGGGTCCCCGAAATATCTGACAGTATAAACTTTTTACTGCTGGGTTTGACTGGTTTGGGTGACAGCCGGTAGGGTCCCCCCCTGTGGGATAGGGGGTTATACTTTCTGGGGGTTTAGGTATGCCCCGAGTTTGTTCCCAGGGTAGTTTTTGTGTGGTTCTGGGTTGTGCCTTTTTGGGTTGTGAGGACCTTGTCTATGGGTTCGAATCGTTTGTTCCCTCTACTTAGATGGGTTTGCTAGGTATCGTTTTGGGGTTGTGCACGGGCTGAGTAGGTTTGAGATTCGGGGTATGGACCTCAGGTCACGCGTGCTTGGAGTCGCTTGTGAAGCAGACCGCAGCAGGGGGCCCCCTTTGGCCACGGCCGAAGCCGAGGTCTCTTTGCCTGCTACTTTGGTGGAGTGATGGGGTTAGGTAAGCTGCATGGCTGAGGCCCTAAGAGGGTGTCTGATGGTGGGAGGAGGGGGTTTCTGATAGGTATGCCTGAGCGTGCTGGTGAGTTGGCTTAGCGACATAAGAGTGGAAGTAGGCAACTTGCATAGGGGATGTAGGGTGGGCCATTATCTTGGTCCGGTTAGAGTAGGTAAAATACCCGCATGGGTCATTGGAGTAGGCCTTGGGGTAATACTTGTGAGAATGGACAATTTGGGCAAATCCCTACTTTACCAGTATGGCGAAACAGCCGTTCCGTGGTTAAGTCCACTGACTATAGTTAGTCCATCAGGTTGTTTGTGGCCCTTGTTCCCTGGGGGTAGGTGCTGGTCGTTCACAATCCTCTTCCAGCGTTGCCGCAGGTCCAGCAAGCGATGCTGATAAGGCTGGTTCTGGTGGTGATGGTGACCACAACTCTTCCTCTTCCTCTTCACGCTCATCTACGGCCTGATCCAGCACTCTTCGCAGGGCACGCTCCAGGAAGAAAACAAATGGTATGATGTCGCTGATGGTGCCTTTGGTGTGACTGACTAGGTTTGTCACCTCCTCAAAAGGACGCATGAGCCTACAGGCATTGCGCATGAGCGTCCAGTAACGTGGCAAAAAAATTCCCAGCTCCCCAGAGGCTGTCCTAGCACCCCGGTCATACAAATATTCATTAACGGCTTTTTCTTGTTGGAGCAGGCGGTCGAACATTAGGAGTGTTGAATTCCAACGTGTCGGGCTGTCGCAAATCAAGCGCCTCACTGGCATGTTGTTTCGCCGCTGGATATCGGCAAAGTGAGCCATGGCCGTGTAGGAACGCCTGAAATGGCCACACACCTTCCTGGCCTGCTTCAGGACGTCCTGTAAGCCTGTGTACTTATGCACAAAGCGTTGTACGATCAGATTACACACATGTGCCATGCACGGCACATGTGTCAACTTGCCCAACTTCAATGCCACCAACAAATTTGTTCCGTTGTCACAAACCACTTTGCCGATCTCCAGTTGCTGCGCAGTCAGCCACTTTTCCACCTGTGCGTTCAGGGCGGACAGGAGTGCTTGTGCGGTGTGACTCTCTGCTTTCAAGCAAGTCAAACCCAAGACGGCGTGACACTGCCGTATCCGGGATGTGGAATAGTACCTGGGGAGCTGGGGGGGTGCCGTTGATGTGGAGCAAGACGCAGCAGCAGAAGAGGACTCAGCTGAGGAGGTTATGGAGTAGGAGGAGTAGAGGAGGTGGCAGCAGGCCTGCTTGCAAGTCATGGCGGTGTCACCAACTCCTCTGCAGAGCCACGCATTCCATGCTTGGCAGCCGTCA